CATTCTGCAGGACAAATAACATTGCGTGAACTGTGCAGCAATATAGAGAATAGGGGGAAGCCAGACAGAAAAGCACATGGAAAGTAGTTTGAATATTTGCAAACCCTGATAGATAAATGTTGTGGACTCACACATTTGTTATCGGCGTCTCCTCGTCGTTTTGTTCCAACAAGACTCTCAAATAATAGTCACCTGATAGCAGAGATACGTTACTGAGTTTGATTCCTATCGAGGAATAAGGGGGGACGCTTTATGAAGAACTGTTAAAAAGCTAGAGCAGTTAGGCTTATCACTAACCTATTTCAGTTCATCAGCTAAACATTCATACAGGACTTCAAACTAAAGGTGATTCCAAAAGACAACGTAGTTTCCACTCAGATCTTTTTCCATTGCAAATGCGTGCAAATCAGATTCGAGTGCCCCAGAAGTTCCTCTCGCGTCTGTTACATTGAAAACATAAGAAATTGTTTCATACTCTTTTACGAGAACAGTTTAGAGAAAGAGGTCAGGACTATTGAATTTGTCTTGTTATACTCATAGCGACAGGAAATCCTCCATTACATTTCCATTTCCTATATTTTCAACGGAAACTAACCTTAACTTCGAGACTCACCTTGTAATTCCAAATCAGGTTGTACGCTGTCAGATCTTGACTGAATCTGTAAAAAAGATCCGCTTAAATATCATTGCTTTTTCATCTTTCAAACGACTAGAACATTTTCCCATTTTAATATGAACACTTACTTTTAATAAAAAAACTGGATTTAAATTCTCACATTTTTCCTGGATTTGAATCCTATTTTTGTCCTCCAATGCGAGAGATATCCTTCAAGTTGATTCCTCAACGTTCCCCTCGTTTTTCCAGAGCTCTAAGACACAAGTATAGCACGTGAAATAACAGGCTTATACGTACATGCAAGCATGCATTATGAAATTTTGGAACACGATTGTTGATTTAAAACGTACTTCTGCAAGCTTTACATTGTCACGAATTGATAAACGATCTTCTTCAGTCTCTGGTGGCTGAAGGAAAGATAAAAACTTTCCAACAAAATTGTTTCTTTACAAAAAGGTTTTACACTTCTGAATGAATTACCATTTAATTATTTCCTCAGTGGGGCAGTTGGCACCGTTTAAGGATGAATGATGGAGTTTAGTTACCAAAGCAGTTGATACAACTTAGTCATGAATGCGATTGGTTAGTCAGAATCACCTCAATGGGTTTATGTAAATAATGGCCCTCGCAAAAAGTTTTCAAAGATTTCTTACTTCGTCAGGGCTTTCAAGGTAATAGAGCAAACCAGCAGGCTGTGAAAATCGTATTCAAATTTATTACATTATTGTTTATGAACCAAAAATTATGAACAGGAAATCTCGCATTTAAACTTTCTTGTATATTTTAGACATTAAAAACTATAACTACTTTAATACGAACATTATTCTCGCAAGTAATGCCATTGCTGTTGGATGATGCTATGCCAACAATAATGATTATAAATTACTTATGGAGTATGCTTGTTAGTCTCAATTGAACTATTTACAGATGGCTAGTATATAGAGGATTATAAAATCACAAGTTTTAAGATGAATCTGAGAATGTTGCTAAAATACAACTCAGGTCCTGCGGATGGAATAGAGGCTATACCTCTGCAACAATTTGTTAATTTATCACACTAATTCGCACCTGTTCAATAGCGAACGTCTATCAGTGCTTTGCGTAAACAAGGCCATGCGTAAGCGTTTTGGTAGAGCGCCCTCGGCAAGCGCCAGAACTTGTATTTTTGCTGCGGTTTCTTCATCAGCTTCCTAAAGTGAAGTTCTAACTAAATATTAACAGATGATTTTAGGCACTTCACACGATGCAGGAATATTCTTGAGGTTTTAAAGGGTCTTAATTTCGAGTGGTATTATACGCACTTCAAATTCAAGCAGGGAACAGTTGATGGAAAAATAGTCAACTGTACGTCCTCAGTGACAAGAGCATTGCACCGGCATCGCAAAAGCGTAGGTTGATTCCTGCCGGAGGATCTATAGATCACTCATTTTTCCGTCATCTGTTCCTGGCTAGATTTGAAGTGTGTATAATACCTCTCAAAATTAAGACCCTTTAAAACCTCTTAAATATCAACTGAACTAATATGTACATTCATCACGGCTAAAAAAATGCAGAGCGTTATAAATGACGTTCGTCAAAGCAGAAAATTCTCAATGGATGAATGAATGAATAAAACGTACCTATTATCGCCTTCAGAACCATGCCAGCACCTTTCACAATTGTTGTCGACGGATGCTGAAATTGTTGAGGAACGAATTCAAAACCACGATTGGTAAGAACCATTAGCGGGGCAATAGTAAAACATACATAAGCGAAGAAATGGTAAAATTGGTACTATTATTTAGTTTTGTCGTAAACCTACCTGGAACAATCGATAAATGCAATGACCCATTTCTAGACAAACAAATAACAGACTTCATGAGTTGCTCCTATGCATGGGACAAGCTAGTGGACGTGGTAAACTTCACCAAAAAGGTAAAGAGAGAAAGGCTATTTAATCAACTCTCAACCTCAGTGAAAGAGCCATAAACTACCAAGAAGACAAGTTGAATGAAAAGCTCCTCAAATTTCTTTGTAGCATACCTGCAACTTTCTCCAGTAATTTCCCAAACTGTTCATCATCTGTTGTCTCACTAAGAGGAATATGCAATAGTCGATTTATTGTAACAGACTACATGAGTTGATTCAAAATATTGGAAGCAATCACACCTTACTATTAGTTTAACATGAATGTCCAACTTCACCCCCGTATTATTTTAATATATTGCAAAGCAACTAGAACAAACCTGTAAGGAGGACACAGAGCAAACGTCAGAAAATCAAGCAATCCACTTATAACTAAAACCCCAGTAGAACGAATATAGAAGAAAAGTTTTCATGGTTAATCTATTTTTTGTGTTTAGTTAGAAAGGTAGTTCAAATTAGAAAGGCAGTTGCTACGAATCACTTGCTGGGTTTTGCAAGGGAATTTCTCTTCCAAAACAAAGCTATATACATACAAGAGGGATGGAAAAATAAAATGCAAGGGTTCAGCATAGATTATAGGCAACCAACACCGCACATCTTACAACATTTATCGTGAGAATTTCCAACAAACTGCTTAGAAATTTTTCAGAGGATAACAAAGAGCTTTTGTTTATCTGTTCTTGTCGAATGTCATAGTTATCGTGCGTTGGCTATATAAAAAAACAGAATTGGTTTCGATAAAATTGGATCCTGTTAACATTCAGATTTCAAAGTTGGCTGAGTTTATGTGGATTGCAAGTTAAAGGGGTAACACTAATGACAGTGACAGATTTGGCAACATATTACCAGGAAATTCATCGTTAAAGTGTTGGCGCTTTCCTTTATACGGAAAAAACGGCCAGACCGGTCCTATTGTTGATCTCGGTACAGACAGATTACTGGTATTTTAGAGTGTTTCAAGAACTCTGCGTTCAAGTATATCGTTACTTGCATCTGTCTAGCTCGGAAATTTCGCAACTATATTCTTAACGAAATACTCTATTTTAAATTTAAATATGACCGGTCTGACCATTTTGGCCGCTTAAAGGAAAACCCTCTCTTTACCTGCATCAGAGCACACAGTATGGCGACAGCGGCGTGAGTCACGGCTTCATTATTCCTCTTCAAAGCTTTCACAGTTTTCACACCAACCTTCTCTTAGAAGCTGTAAAAACAAAACAGAAACACGGTCTAGAGAAAGTGAGCTGGTTGAGTAAACAGCGTGTGTTGTGGTTAAAGATAAACGTTTCTCACCTAGTGAGCGTTGTGAAACCTGCTTTGGATCCAACCTAATGTCTCAAAGCGTGAAACAGTGCTTCGAGATCTTTATCTGATATTTTGTTTTGGTCTCCTGCAAATAGACGAAACATTTTAACTATTTTATGTATATATTGAATACCTGTGAAGGTAATAGCAGTCAGAATATGTATATTTTAGGGTGAACACTAAATATATTTATTGGCAAAGATATACAATACCTTCGTGAGCAATGAGCATTGTGATGGCATTAATGATAAGTCTTTCTTTATTCTCCGGGAAAAGTCCTTACAAAATATTTAAAATCGTTTGAAATATATATTGGAGTTTAAAAGACTTAATATTCCAGCCGTACTTCTGGCGAGAAAAATTCAAATCTACCATTTCATGGATTCGGACCCAGTCAACTCAGCAACTAGAGTTACCGCAGCGTAGTCCCTAGGCCTCTTAACGTTCCTTATACGCGGCGAGGCGGGAACTGAGAGGCCTAGAACAAAATGTTTTGTATTTTGGCTATTTTGCCCCACTTTCTGTATTGAGGTCAGTTTACGATCCACGACGCGGTTAACTGGCCTTGTTCGACGTCGCTAGTCAAATATTTGCTTGAAATAACCTACGGGATATTAATTATACTGTCAGGACTTCGAAATATCCATACAAACGTTTCAATGTCATTTGCTGTCGACGCTATCGACTATCAAGTAAACTCGAGTCCGTGCGTACATGGTTATGATTATAATAAGCTTCAATCTGCCAATTTAAATTATTCTCGCTTCCTTTATAACGATTATTGTTGTAAATCTAGGTCAACTAATGCATACTAAAATAAGCAGAAAACTAACGTGCGTATGAAAAACACGTGAGTGGAAAACAGCCTTAATCCAGATTTTGACAGAACATTAAAACTCAGTAAAAATGCAATAATATTCTCTACACAGGATTTTGTCTGCAGAAAAGTACAAAATAAGAAATTGTCAACTTACGTCTTGGGTGACTGCATGAAGTAGACCGCTGTAGGAAATATTGCAGTTAAATCTCTACACATCTTCGGTTAAATTTCCATTAAGGAACCAGTAATAAGACAATATAAGCTTTTGGAGATATTTCAAAAATTTAAAGTGAAATAAAAAGAGAAATATTTCACCTGGAGACGCAGCGAGGAATTTTAAATGACTGCTTTCTACTTCTTCGTCAACAACGTTATACAATGGACCCCAACGATAACCTTGAAAAATATATCATCTTAAAAAAACAATTCTTCTTTTGCTGTATGTGATGTATTGGACTGACTAATAGGAATACCTGACGAGAAGTGTAATTGTTTGTGTGTTATATGAGATCCCATACGTCAGGAGGAGAATGAAATGAGGGTTCGTATTTACGGCAATCATAGCAGTGCGAGATTTTCATCAGGAAAATTTTGACCATAATTTTCGCTCAATCATCTATGAAAAAGCGTACAGTACCGTCTCTTCGTTGGGGTCGTTTTTACACAAACATCTCCATTTCCACTGCCTCTAACCCCGTGTAGCTAACCAGCCAATGATATATCCCTAGATTGAGTGAAATACAAACATTCAGAACAAGAAATATTTTATATAGCTTCATACAAAATCTGCTTTTTTAAACTACCTGTCGGAAGACGAGTAATTTCTCAGCTGACCGCTTGTGTATTCCAGCCGAAGAACTGAGGATGGTCTCGATAGCTAATTATTGAAAATATCTGACAGAAAAAGAAGTTTTAAAACTATGATATACTATAATACACAAGTCTTAACCAAACGGTATATTTAAAATCTTGAATCCAGGTCAGAAGACATGGAGTGTTTGGAGTGTTTGGAGTGTTTGGAATGTTTTTTTTTTCTTTCAAGGTCTGAGATGAACAATTACTGGAACTGACATGGAATGTCGCATGACTTACTGAGCTAAGGGGATGAAGGCTGACGATGTTGAACATATTATAGTAATAATAGTTTATAGTTTATTTATATTATAGTAATAGAGTTGATGTTCGCGGGCATAAATGTGTTTTTGGCCCTCCTCGCGGAACACATTTTAACCCTCGCTACGCTCGGGCTAAAATGAGTTCGAAGTCGGGCCAAAAACACATTTATGACCGCAAACATCAACTCTATTGTTATATTATTATCACTATAACATACACATGAGTATATACAAAATTAGTAAAATACAATAATTAGTAAATACAATAATTAGTAAATACAAAATTAGTAAAATACAATAATTAGTAAATAGATTTGAATAAATATAGTTCACCTGGTGCAAGGCACTTTTTAATGATAACTCCAAGCTTATACTTTCTGGATAATTTAATACATTCTATAGGGTTTAATGATCAATATAGGGATAAGTATCATAAAATTGTTTGGCTGTTGGGGTGTATAAACTATCAAAACTACAAAATTATATCCTGTCAAAATTTCGAATTCTAAAATAATGCCGGGTTTATGGTCATTAGAATTTGCTTGCTACTTTTATAATATGCAAAAAAGTAGACGGTAGACACTGATTTTAAGTTCAAATTTATAATATTTCGAAAATATATTATGCATTATTAATTATATAACATACCTTGAATAAATTTGAAGTTTTACATGATTCAAGAACATTTTCATTTGTATACCGAACTGTTTCGCCTTTGGATTTGATTCCGTTCATTAGTCAAAGTACACTTCAAGATGTCGGGCTTCCCTTCAAAATTGTCGAGGCCAGGGATATGACGGTGCTAGTGCTGTGTCCAGCCAGGTAAAAGGTATTTCTGGGAGAATATTAGAGAAAAACCCGAAGGCGTTGCATGTTCATTACTCCAGTCATCGTTTAAACCTTATTGTTGCCAAAGCGTGTTCAATTCTTCCAGTGAAAATATTTTGAGTCAGGCACAAAATATCGCCAGCTTTTTTATCAGTTTCCCTATCCGCTCACAGTATCTAAGTAAAAAGATGAAAGAGTTTGGTTTAACCCGTAACAAGCTCGCAAAGCCTTCCACGACACGATGGGTAGAACGAATAAGATCCCGCGATGGTTGTTTGGATGCATTCAAAGTTATCTATGAAACACTCAATTTTATGCAGTTTGGAGGATCGCAGGAAGGGCCATTTCCTAGATTAGCTAGTGACGCACAGTCTCATTTTCGCAACGTGGAGAAATTTGAATTTATGGCTGCTCTCATTATCACCCAACATGTTCTGGATCATACTTTGTCATTGACGGTCCAATTAAAGAAGAAAAAAAAATCGATATTGCGCAATCAATAAAACAGATTAATCTTTTAAAGGATGAAATGGCAAAACTACGTGCCTCTGTAGATTTATTCCACAATGAATACTACGACAAGCTGTTGGAATTAGCTAATAACCTCGACGTGGCTGAGTGTTTTCCCCGGGTATGTAAAGCTCAAACAAAATGTGATAATAATCGTACCAGTACAGCAGGTGGTTACAACAGATTAACAGTAACCATTAAGAGTCGTGCATAGGCCACGTGATAACGAAACATTCTGAGCTCATCAATGAACAATTGTAAAGGTTTTATTGTAACTCATAGGAAAACCTAAGGATATATTTTGTAAAATCTATTATATTACGAGTGTCTTTCCCTAAGTCTACCGACCCCTGAATTCCCCACGCTATCGTCACCCTGTAATAAATAAGTAACGTTGCAAGTCCTCACCTTCAACCACAAGGATTAAATTACGTAATTCGAAGTGCAAAATTGAGATTACCGGTTTCTGAGTTTACCGGTTTATAATGCTCAGTATTTAATAATCCGTATAAGACCAATTTATCATTATTATTACTTGACTTACGGATTCATTAAGTTTATCCTCGTCTTAACTCAAAAAAGTTTTCAAAGGACTTGCATCCAGAAGGGATTTACCAGGAACAGGCTAAAATTAAACAGATGTTGAGATTAATGCACGATGATGATTCGTGATCTTAAAATTGCTACCTTTTGAAACTCTTCACGAGTTAATAAGCCTTGACTGTTCCCTGTGAAAGAAAAAAAGGTAAATATAGTCATATTATAATATATATTTCCTCCATATTGCAAAGGTAATTTCACTTGCCTTCAGTTTCTTCCTTGTGTAAAACAGTGTCTTTGGAATCTGGTACGACATCAATCTGAAACGATTGTAAAATGAAAAAGCTAGTCTAAATCAAAGATCTCTTTCTTTTCTGCTCCCCCTGCCAGTCATGTTAGTAGCAATATAAGGTATAGATAGTGAATGTTCTTGCACCAAATAAATTTCATGCAAAGCGAGTTTGAAGAGAAATTCTTACCATAAAAGCGCTTGGTCCATATCTCGGACTACGACTCAAATATCGAGTTCGTTGAACAAATGCCGAACCAAGATTCAACTTTTGACCGGAATCTTGTAATAAAATCGACGAGGGTGAAGATTTGCCGTGTTCTGTAAGCAGCATCTTTTGTTCTGCGCTGTCTAAAATGTTGGCAGATAATTTGTTCATTTCGTAAATGCGCGAACAATGGCCGATTTGTTTTAACATTACAAACCTGACTCCTTGAGTTCGGTTTTCTTCATTTCAACATCATCCCGGGTATCTTCAATATTAGTTTCCTCATCTTCTCTACATGATGCGAGGCGATCTTTGACAAGATCTACAATCAATGTACGCTGTCTGTGCTCTTGCTAAGAAGTTCTGTTGTAGTTTCAAGGCGTTTTCTGGCTCCTTCTTTAATGAGTTCGGCCGATAAATCATCTGAAATACAACAATATCAATTTGACATTCCGCCAACGGAATGCCCAACCGAAACATTGAACAGGTTTGACCCATCGTTGACCTTACCAAAGAGTTGTTTTGGAATTAAACTTTCATAAATCTCAGTCTTTCCCACCGCTGGTCGTCACAAGATGTTTGAGTCACAAGATTTCTGTACTGAGCCTACGGTACCAGTGGGCTTTAAATCGCGGGTAAGAAGGTCAGATGCTTTGGTATCGAATTTTGTGTTTGGCACCTAGCTAGAATCATCTGCACGAGTTTTTCTATCAGTTGAAGAAGCCTGGAAATGACAAATACGTTCCTAAGAGCTTTCACTAGAAGAATATTAAAACTTGGTCGCTCTTGCAAATATATCTATTGAAAATTCAGCAAGCAATCCCCCTGGCAATAGAATGATATGTGGACTTACTTTCGTAATAAATGGCATGAATTGTTTTCTTAACAATAGCGGACAGTTGACAAACCAGGATGAAATGACATTATCAGCAAGGGCTACAGTGTATTGAGAGTATCTAAGGTGAAACATATCAGTTCGTTTATATTTTAATCATTTTGACAAAACCAATAATAAAAAGTTTCAGATGTTATCGCGTTGAGCCAACTTCGATGATTCTGTGTAAGGCAAACATATTCCAAAGACTTGTTTCAACTGGATCGCTGTGAAGTATTTGTAATAAGCACAAAGCTGTTACAATGCGATTTAAACGATTGAAAAGAATGTTACCAACTTTTCGCCGAATACGATTGTGTGTTTACACAACCTAGCTCTCTTTAGGGGGTACATTGATATTTTGTAACAGATTTCATAATTTACGTAACTTCAAGAAACATACCAGAGGGAAATTCTAGCAGTGGTATGGCAACTTGAGACGTTGGCGAAAGTTTAGTAAGCTTTTCCAGATATTGTGGGAGCAGTCTAAGGACAGAAAATTTAGTAATTATTACTTAAAAAATCATATATTTGTGAAGGAGTATCTCGCATCACAAGAGACGTTACGTTTAGGCTGGAGTTTATTGAAAAACGTTTCTGTAAATTCACTGAGCACATTATCAAGGCACGATTTCAAATATCTCCAAAGAAATAAACTTCTAAAACGCTGCAACTACTTAAATCAACTTCATTCTTACAAAGTGCTAATGGACATAAAAAACGTCTCAAATTCCAGACTATTTTAAGTAGCCATACCTTGCCATAACTGAAGGCATTTCTAACATACATACGGTGAGACAAGATACGCTTAACGTCGCGAAATGAGAAACCAAGTACGCATTAGACAACACTAGACGAAATATACAACAAAGTTTAAGCAAGAACAGACAACCGCTGAAAATAAAGTCCCGCAGATTCTTACCTGTTCATCTTGACCAATAAAAATTTGGTACGTACACAGCTCCGTTGTTACCTGCACGTGTTACAATAAAATATCCAATTAAATCATTAGTATGGTATGATATAATTATGGTAAATTGGTTATGGTATGGTGTGATATAATTATGGTATGATATGCATGGTTATGTATGGTATGATTTCGTTATGGTATGGTATGGTGTGATATTATTATGGTAAGATATGGTTATCGTATGGTATGATTTAGTTATGGTTAGTTATGGTATGATATGATTATATGATATGATTATATGATATGATTATATGATATGATTATATGATATGATTATATGATATGATATGGTATGGTTATGGTATGGTATGGTTTTGGTATATTTATGGTAAGATATTATGATATATGCAAAAAACTGATTGATAAGAACCGTACTGGAAAAATTCTAGCGTACAAATGAGGTCGGCGCATATCGTTAGGAACACGAAATAATCCAGGAAGAAAATCGTAATTTGAAACCTGAATGCAAAGTAAAATTTTTAGTTCATGATTTTGGTGTGAAAGTACACAACTTCACT